AATCCTGTACGAATAAAACTTACTGACTTTTTATTTTAAGTAACAAAATAGCTTTGTTGTATTTGATTCAGTGAAAAGAAATAGTTTCTTTACCTTAATAATGTGTTGTTGGTGTGGTGATGTTAGTATGCTCTGACCATGCTCTGATTGAGTATTTTTTTCCATCCTGAAGTAAGTCAATTCAAAAAACTTTTGGCGCTTTTGGAACTTTTAAACATATTGGTATTGGCTACAGGATACCTATTGGTTTCTCTGTCTACGCATTGATTTGAATAACTTGAAAATAAGAGACAGAAAATACGATGCGCCTTATTTGGTCATACAAGTAAAATTATTTATCAATAAACGAGACACAAAAACAAGCCGTCATAGTCATATAGCGCTTTTTCTATCTTGCTTACGTGTTTACATTTTGCATTACAAAAAAGCGGATGTTTTTCGTAAAAACGTCAAAAATTACGCGCTATTTCGTAAATGTAAACATAAACAGTTTATGTATTTTATCTGTGAATTATGATTATGTTACGTATTCAATGTTAGATATTATGTGTTTTCATTAAAAACAATGGCTAGGTAGCATATAACAATGGATTCTGACGACCCGAGAACACCTTTACTTGGTAAGTTATGTTTATGTAATTTATGAAAGGTTATTCTCGCATTGTTATTTAATTAATACGTTTTATAAACTTATACATACCATAATATGTTATAAATTTATTTAGGTTCGTATGTTATGTTCGATTTAGTATTAATTTTGCAAGGACAAAGTTTGGAAACTTGCGTACGAAGTATGTTACGAATTAGTAGGCGTATTGTTATTTGTCGTAATAATTGTAATCAGTTGATTTAATAGAGCGTTGCACTTTGTTTTGCACTAATTACAACAATTTTTTTTAATGAAGATTTCAGTCTTTATGTCTCAATACTTTGATGCATAAGAACGGTTCATATTGTTACGCCTAACTATACTCTTCCAAGTAGAATAAAGGCTCAACTTTAGTTACGTAACACCAACTGGCGCACTGAAATTTCTTTTGGAGATAGTGGTAGTAAAGAGGTGTCAAATACAAAAATTTCAACTTGAAGAAATGCTTGTAAGATATGTATTTCTCTGGTCATAAGGTCTGACTTTGCTTTTTTTTATTATCTTATTTTTAATAAGGCCTGTAACACTTGAGTGTCTACTCTATTGTGTTACCTCATAGTGAGAGGCAAGACCTCACATATGAATACATAGTTTTAGCCTTCTTCGCCAACAGGGGGATGATTCATGTAATCAAACCGTTACGATATCAAAGCGATTTAGTTGTTGAACTGCTTTTTCGTATTCACACGTCACAGTGAACGTCAATGAGTCCAATTTTAAAGTTGTTCAACCCAAATGTTGTTAAAGCATATTCTGGTATATGAACCAAACTTAAATCGACTCTAAACAACAAGTCATACGTATTCTGCTAAAATTTTGACAGTTCTTTCAATAGACTTTCGATAACTAAATGTAAAATTAAACAAACCAAGATGTCGTTCATTAGTTGTTACATTTTGATTCTACTCATATCAATGTTCATTCAAGTGTAACGTGAATACCCATTTTGGACAGGACTTCAATCGAATGACTACGTAACTTCAACAATATTTTTATAGCTTGAACTTACGTGAATCGCACTACAGGTCACTCGACGCAACATTTAACTCCCCAATCTGCCAAATATCCTCAAATTGAAACTGGCTTCTTATAGTCACGTAATGGCCACATTCCATCAAATGTAGTATATCTTTAAATTTGTTACAAGTTCGCTTTGCTCACCCAAACACACATATTCCATCACATGTTTACTTATCCTCTTGTACATTGAAACAGGTTTCTTTGCTTCAAATTCAGGTTGCAATTATGTACATATTTTTATTTAACAAACTATACTTGAAATAGTTTAAATGGTGTTTTTTTATTATTTTGTAATAAAAAAACATCATTTAACTGTCTGCGATCAGTCCCTGAATTATATACAGATCCATGCTTTTGTTTTATATAGTTTGGAATAAAAAGTACTAACTTATAATAAAGAGTAAGTTTGGAACAAAGAAGACTCTTTTGTTCTTAATCATTAAATGGCTGATTGCGTTCTACTAATTCAACTTTCCAGTATTTTTTACTTTTTCAAACAATTTAAGCCACCTAGATGCTTTTCGTCAACTGGAGATCTTGCCAATATATTTGTATGTAGTGATAGTCATGTATTTCCTGGGCTCTAACAAATCAAGGTGAATGGACTATGGTCACCATTTTGGAATCCCTGAAGAATTTCCTCATTAGAGGTGTTGGCAGATCCCCATAACTCCAAACAATAGCTTCTTCTCAACTGATAACCTTGACTTTGTACCTATTGCCCACAGCATAGATCTGAATTTGTTGCTCAAAGTATCCCGTTTTGCTTTGATATGATCTTCCCATGTTAGTCTAAATGATTTGATACTTACTATTCATTTGGGCTAAGATTCCTCTAAGCAGAAAGGGTAACAAACTCTTTGAGATGCTCTCTGTAAATAGATATTTATTGAAATAGATTTTTCATAAAAACAATCTGAGAGAACTAAGTGGATTGCTCTCATGCATTTTTATCACTTGTGACATTTTAAATAAAGATTTATGTGTCACGGTAATTTGTAACTTCGTAAAAGGTATTAAAAATCAACAGTAATCTTATTATCGAAGTTATTGCTCCTCAAGTTAATTGGGACATTGTAGAGACTTATTTTATTTTTTATTCTTTTATTAGTTGTAACAATATTTCTTATTCTTCTTATCTGATTACTATTCTTCTAAACATAAATGTACTGTGACGCCAATTTCTCGGCGAGACCCATATCGGTTTGAACACATGTTGGCAGAATGATACTAATTATCCATTTTAACAATCAGAATGCTCACACAAAAGAGGCAGATATTTGCGTATCGTAGTAAATAAAGATGAAAGATTACCTACGCTTAGCGATAAGTAAGGTAAATCTCCTTTGATCGGAAAATATTAAATGTTTCTTTAAAGTCGTAAGATTAAGAATTATTGCAGTAGGTAGGTAGTAAATTTTTAATGTCTTATTTCTTAATCCAGTTAATATAGGTATAGGTGTATTTTTTCATTTGAATGTCATCTGAAAAGAGAATAGTTATATAAGCATTGTAACACCATGCATGCATATTCGTTTCTTCCTCGAACCAGCAAGATGTGGAAGTCTTCCTCCTGAAATATTTCCCTCGCTATGACATGGGATTTTTTTTTATAATATTAAGTGTGTCAACAGGGCTCTCAAAGGCTGACAATGCGTAGGCAGCTCATCTGATGTTGCAGACTACTACTCATTTGCTCCTACTTCACATAAAAAGTTAACAAATGAAAAGTGTTGCTCTACATGCTTTATGATTTTGATTTAGGCCCTACTCTGCAGTAATAATACTATTATAATAAGATTTTATTGGTACAAACAAGCAGATACCAGAGACATGGTTCTTGTGGCACAATTTCCAGCTCATTGCTTGAGAAATTTGGTCTCCGACTTTGGAATAATGTCATAACTATTTATCCGTAATTGCAAGCTACATATTATTTTCGACGCTACTTCCTTAACCAGACGAACCTGTACCTATACTTCGAGTGTGTCTCCTTTCATCTCCATAAATCGTCCATATGATTGAAGCGTATGTGGCATTTTCAAGACTGTAGTGATGATTCTCATTGGCCGAACAGTTCATGCATCTCGTCATAGGCAGCCAATGAAATAAAAGCTGTGACGTCATAACGTGCATATTTGACGTATATACAAACGTACAATAAATTATCTAAATTAATATTTAGATTGACAATTTACGAAAAAGATTGGTGGTTTAAATATTTAAGGCCAAGTTTAATGATACAGTATAATGTTACATTATTTATGTGTACATTGTCGTTAGTTAGAAAACGGATTTATTTAAAATATGTATTAGGTACATTTCGGAGTTTATCAATATATGACTGCTCTTTTGTGCGATGGTTTAATTCAAGAAAGAGCAAATCAAAAGGATCAAGAATAAAAGATAGTATGTGGAAAGATTGGTATGCGTGGAGAAAGGAAAGGAGGTACCTATACGAGGAAAGCAGCAATTGGAAAGAGACAGAAAAGTAATATATAGTTATGAATAATTTTAACCCTAATATTAATCTGTCTTTTAACCTAACTTATTAACAATAATCACAATGATTAATAGTACTTATTAAAGTTTACAGACACTTAGTATATGTAATTAAATTATACATACAATTTCTTTTTATGATCCACACAATACAATATAAACATTTATCTTTTTTAATACTTACGTTCATAATCTCTATTAAGTGCTGATGCGCTGGTTTATTTGTCCCACTAATGTATCACTTTATGCTGAACTGATTTTAATTACCGTTAGGGTGTTACTATAGAGACAAGCTAAGCGAGAATCGATTAATGTACTTATCACTTCATTGCCTCGTGAAAATATCGCTGCTACACAATCATCAGTTTCAACACATCTGTAAAGTTGTTCTTGCTTTGCATTGTGATGAAATTAGGAATTGTAACTTTATTATTTTATAGTGATCGTACTATAATATAATGAAATATAATGAAAACTGTAATTTGTGGTTAAATTCTCTTTCTAAAACTTGTTTGGGATAAATAACTACGTATCACCACTCTGCAGGGAGGGAGAGGTAGTGTAATGACAAGCTCAGAAGATTTAAGATCTTATGTCACAAGGCCGGCAATGTACCATCTGTCTTACCAGTTTAATTTAGAAAAAAAATGCGAAGATTACACACTAAGTGATTTTGCAGGAGCCAAGTTGTAGCAAATGCAGCTTACAAGGCCTCTAGTCTCAATTGTTTTTTCTGGTACCAGATTTCTAAGCCAGCTTCAGGTAGTACAAGTATGCCGAATTGCTGAGGCTTGTTTATTTGAGCGGAAGTATTTTTTTGACGCTCATGGGCAACCATTGTTGTATGTCAAGAAAAATATACAGTACGTAGGCCATAGCTCTCGCGTATCGCAACTGCAACTGTTGAACGTTTTCAGTTAAAGCAGCTATGTTGTCTGCGAACCCAATGAATTATAATATATTATCACCATTACATTTGACATCCCCCTTTCTTGATTCTACTGCTTTCCTGATTGCGTGTTCTACAAATGTATATAATATTAAGTATGATGTATGAGAGTCTGATTTTTGCTGTTTCCCTTCTTTCTCTTATTGTCTCTTATTCCCTGTACAGCTGGTAAATTATTCTTCTATAGCGATAGGTAATAGGGATAGATAATACAGGGGTATTGTAATCCTTTTATCAATATTTGCATCATTATCTTCCAATCAACTTTATCCAAAGCTTTCTTCAAATCTATGAAAGCTAATAATGTATCAAGGTCCATCCCAACTACCATAAAAATATCTCTACCATGAGTTTTTACTACTGACGGTGATTGTAGCTTCGCTGTTCTTTGGAACGCGACCTCTACAACAACCGCGTCGCTAATTACCTACTGTAATAGACTAGTCTACCTTACCCACACGTGTTCACTCTGCCACCTGCTCTCGCCCTAGATTATTGCGTCGTGTTACAAATAAATTAAATATATTTTTAACTTCATTTTTTACTTAAAAACCTCAATTTTAAGGTTCAAATTATATTGTTAAGTGATTATGTAATTAGAGTTTTATGTTTTAAAATGAGTGGCGTTATAGGTAATTATTTTATTTTTATTGTTAAGGTATTTCCTTAGTCGTGTTTTTATTTTTTTGTCTTGATTACGGCGAAGTTGGATTCTTTTTGTTTTTTTGATAATAAGTGACTGGACGAACAATTCTTGCGCCTGGTGGTAAGCTACACGCCTATCTGTATCAGTTGTAATGCCACTCAGACGAAGGTCACTGCCGCAGATGCCGCAGAGGTATTTAAAAAGTCGTTGAAAAACCAAATACAAAGATACGACGCAAGCACATAGAAAAATTCGTGAGGTCCGCTGGTGCAGTCCGTGGCTTAGTTGGGTATAGCGTCTGGCACGGTATCTACAAGACGTCGTTTCGAATCCGGCCGGTCGAAGGATTTTTTCTGAGTGTTCGATCTTTGTATTAATAATTATAACAAACTAATGGAGTGATTTCTGATAAAAATAATTGAATATGAATTCAATAAAAATGTAAATAAATTGTGATTTTAAGGAGGTCCTTTCGCCGCCAACCGGTTTCATCGCGTGGCTGCTAAGGTATGCAGCATAGAATCATGGCGGCGACGACTTCCGATTTCCATCTGGTTGCCCAAGTACAGCGTGGAAAGCTTGATACGAGATGCTATAGCTGGTAAGATTGATGGAAGGTTCAAGCTGTGGTTTCAGTGACAAGGTTTTTCCGTGCATAGCCCGTTTCTATGGGGCCTATAGTTGGGCTTTACGAAATGGGGCTCTATGAAAACAGGTTAGATTTTTTTACACTAATGACTTTGACACTGGCTTTAATTTAGACTTTTTTTTAATATACAGTTGATATAAAAAAAATCGTTGGTATATTATTACGTAAAGTACTTATTGAATAGTATACCTTGTAGAATTTCGAGGTAAGTTTGTGTTTTTTTTGTATCGTGAAAATTTTTAGGGACCGTGTTTTCACACCGTATAGCAATCAGTTTATATCCTCAATTTTACTAATTTTTTTTTCACTAAGTGATTGATTCAACACTTCATTGTTATGCGGAACCAACGAAACCCATTTGATGTAGTATAGACTCTCAAGTTCAGTTTATGATATTTTTTATAAATATTGTGGTAAATGCATTGACTTACAATTATATGGACGTCGGGTCCGCGCTAAAAAGTGTCCGAACTTATAGGGCGTTAAAATCGTATACAGAGCGTCATTCATGCTTTATGTCTTCGTTTGTTCGACTGACAGCGAAGCAAGCAAAATTAGACAGTACTGCGATGACATTACAATTTAAATTCAACGTTTTAGCTTTTTCATATTCCTTTACATGTCACTACGTTTAAATAGGTTGACTTGGGACATTTTTTTCGTGGTTTTTGTATTAGACCCGTCGTCCATTTATTTGTAAGTCAATGGGTAAATGTGATATATAAGCCTATTTACAAAGAGCAAACCCTAGAGTTTCTTATCCATTTTTCGCAAGGGAATCTGCTTTACGAATAAGTTAGTGTTTAATAACTTTGACGATTTCAAGTGTAATTTGCTAAATAATTAAATAAAGATATTTTAATTACTTATTTTCTAGGCATAACGGTCGGCCTGACGTCCATTCCACAAGGGATCGCTTATGCTATAGTCGCTGGATTACCGGCCCAGGTAAAAAAACTGTAAAAATGTCCCCTATTTTAAAATCTGTTATTGACGAGTACAAGCTGTTAATTTGATTCCGTTACACACGAAAACGTGCTTACTTTTAGCGCAACATGCAGATATTTATTCTTCCTTCGCATTTAACACAATTAAGTTGACACTCATGTGTAGTCTGTCATTTTTGAAGAAGGAATAAAATGACAGTTCTTTGCGTAAAAGTGGTGCCCGCTTGCGAGCAGCTAGTGATTGCAGTCCATAAATATTCTATCGACTATCGATTGAATATTGGTCAAGCTTATGGGATAAATTGCCGAACTTGTTTCATTTGAATTGTCAATTTTTGTAAGTTACATACATACATACACTGTATTCAGAACTATGTTTATGAAACAATAACAATAAACAATGAGGGGACATATTTTAAAGTTTTTCATTTTAATTCAATATAGATAATCAAATCCGGCTATTCTGGTTAAAATGTATATAAATGAAAATTGATCTCGATATTAGTAGGCCATCTGTGAAAGTAAGAATAAAGAAGGCAATAACGCAATTAGTAATCATTAGCACGTCGTTTTATTTACAATTCAGTCTTTTTTTGGCAAAATTTTATCTTCTATCATTACATAGGGCGCACTATAAGTTTCCGGAACTGGCCACTTACATAAACAACATTTAAAAAGTAATTACAACATTTGAAAATGGAACTTTGGCTGTAGAATACAGTTTGTTTCATCTGACTGTCACTTGTTTTTACATTGTGGCGTCATTTTAGAAATTGGTTGTCTACATCACCATGGATTTAACTCGTGAAAATTTTTGTAGTATGATTTTCTACCACTTTAAGTGTAATTTTAAAAGCAGTTTCATTGCGCCTGTTACCCTGAGACAAGTTGACAAGTTCCGTGTGCCGGTAATTTGTGTGAAAGTGCCTCGATTTTGATTTTCAGTGCACCCGGTAATAGATTAGATAGCATTTACAATTAATGTGGTAATCTGACTTTATTATTTTCGGTATTCTGTAGATTCCATAATAAGACAGTGTCTTCAGCATTTCCACCACAGAACAATAAGTACAGTAGAAGTGGTTAGTTAGCGTCGTACGCGTGCCAACTATAAGTCTCGAAAGACCTGTTTGAGCTCAGTCCCCCCATTTTCGCTTTGTATGGTATGGTTGTGTTATGCTTTCGCACAAATTCTGTAAAACTGCAGAAAAATGTATCGAACTTTCAACGATATTGCGACTAGATAAAGTTTAAATTATATTAACAATCCAGAATTTGTTATATCTTTTTAAATTAGAAACTATGACCAATCGTTATCAAGATTATGTATTGTTTCAAATTAAGAAAGTGTGAGTTTTGGCGACAGCGGTTCCGATAGTAATCGAGGCATATGACATTCCATTTTTTTTTCTGCCGTGATTTCCACCAAACATGCTATATTTCCAGGTGGGTCTATATTCAAGCATATTCCCCGGCCTCGTGTATATGGTCTTAGGGAGCTGCAAGGACGTCACTGTCGGGCCCACAGCTATCTTAGCCGCTCTTCTGGCCAAGTATGTGGCCAAGAGCGCTGACTTCGCCTATTTGGCTGCTTTTCTCTCGGGCTTCATTATTTTGTTGCTGGGAATATTACAGTTAGGTAAGTGATTAATTAAAGAGTTTTTTCCACTCCTGTACTATAATTTCATGAGCCATATCACAAAGGCGCTCTTTTAGTTCTGAATCAAAACTCTATTGTCTATGATACTCGCTATTGAATTGAAAAATTTTGATTATAGTTCTGTACACAGAGACATCAGTTGACAAGTCCTATGTGCCTGTAATTTCACAGTATATTAACGTAACCGGTAAAGAGCGTGCCTTCGACCGTAATAGGCACTCGTAGCTGTTACGATACTCTGTTTAAACTTAATTTTGTATCCGATTAAGACTGGCAGTACAGCTCCTTTACCTATTTCTGCCCCTAAGCAGTGATGTAAGCGTTACTGCGTTCCAGTTTTGAAGGGTTAAGAAAGGACTGGTGAAATTACAAACACATGGGACTTCGTAAAATTTTACACCTGATTTTTGCGACTAAACTGAAGTTTGCGGTGTGTCGGTTACCACGAGGCACTACTTGTTTGTCCCTCTGTTGATATCATAAAAAAACTATTTTATGTTGGTATGGGAATTTGAAATTAATTTTGCTTTTCGTTTTTTTCGTAGGCTGTGACATACAGACTGATATGATGAAACTATAAAGGCTTCTCGTTTGTCACGGTGCCTTGAAAACTTTTACCTTTTGCCGTTGGAATCAGAAGAATATCTATATATTTTTCCGCATATTTACCTGGTAAGGGACTGACTGATATGACTATCAATTTCAGGGTTTTTACTGGACTTCATATCAAAACCGGTGATCAGCGGATTCACGACGGCGGCTGCCCTGCAGATCGGTGCAGCGCAGTTGAAGTCCTTATTCAGGATATCAGGTAGGAGGCTACAAATTGCTACCTCTACATTCTAATCATCTCCCGCTCGTAGTTAATTGTAAATTCATAGCCATCATCTTCCATCTTCTGATCTCTTGGTACGACGAGGATTTAAGTTCTTCTGGCCGATTTCAAAGCGTGTAAAAAAGCTCTGGACGTACGAATAGATAGTTTTTATTTGTTTTATTTATAGTCAGGTTACAAAGATCCTTAAATACATACCTTTTTGACTAACATACATAACAATATAATAAAACTCTAATTACTAATAATTTACACGTAATGATTGAAATGTGTGACGCAACGTGGGTGTCCGGTAACCGTCCTCGGAAACGTCGGCACATGACGCCCTTCGGCCAAAATACATCCTTCATGAAGGTCGACATTCTCGACAAATTCACAGGTAGCATGGTCTTTCACCCGTATATACTTACTCCACAATATCCGTAGACTCTCCCTCCGTATGACATAGGCGTGAGACGCGCGCCCTGTAAAAATTGTGCAGTGTTTCAAGCGGCCTTAAGACTCTGGTTAAATTGACAAACTTTGGCGACTTTAATGTTCTAAACGTAATAAACAGTTTAGCGTAGGGTAGTAGGGTTAGCGCAGCGCGGAGGGATGCAGTGTCTAGTACCAAAGGCAACGGCGTTAGTACACTTAAGTGCAGTTCAATGCCAGGTAGCGTTGCTGGTGCTAGAAAAACAAACCTTCGATCGTATAAAACGCATCGGTCTATATACTAGCTCGTTTCGAAATACAACTAATGCCATCTAGCGGTATGCGGTGGAACTAGATATAGAAATTCTCATAGTTGCTACATTATTTATTTTAAAATTTATAATGTAAAAAAGTGACTTAAGATCAACTGACCTTAAATTCCACAGGGTCGTCAGGCGACACCTTCATTGACGCTATGGTGAACTTCTTCAAGCACATCAAGACGGTGCAGCTGTGGGATACGATCCTCGGAATCGTTTCTATTATCGCATTATTATTGTTCAAAGTTAGTATTTTAACGACAATAACTTATCTTGTTATTAATAACAATAATAATTTACGTTCTTGGTGATAACGGTAATGATAAATCTCTTTAAAAATATTGGTAATAATACATTGAAATAAAATTTCACGATTGTCATAGATTATTTGATTTTAAATCGGAACTTAGACGTGTGTAAGACGTTTTTTATTTATATTGACGTCTCGAACGTGTACCAGTCCCATTGTGACCATGGACGTTGCAACGCGTCGTCGTCAGACGTTGCAAATAATAAATATTAGACAACGTCATATACGTTGCTCCGATGCGAAAGTACGCAACTAAAGCACTTTCTTTTCATTTAACCAGAGCGTTTATCGCTTAGCGATAGTGGCAGCTCCATCTTTACATACTATCGTTAGTTCTACTTTAACTAAAGCGCTTGTGTTATGGAAAATAGAAACAACGACGGTACATGCCACAAACATCCTGACCCGAGACAATATAGAAAAGTTTTACTAATTGATTTGGCCGGGGATCAAGCCCAGGACCTCAGAGATGACACCATGTGCAAGTCACTCGACCACAGAAGTCGTCAAATATGTTTTATACACGATTATGTCCTGATTTTAAAATCAAAGTCGGGATCATCAAGTAATAATATAAGCCACAAATAGTGATTTTGACAGCTGACACGGGAACTTATTAAAAAAAAAACAAATTGACGTTAAGTTTCATACTTTTATCTAACTGAATATCTTGTTAGTTTGATGAATTTGACTTAATGTTTACAAAATTAAGAAATTCATAGTTAATTTATATGTGTGTAAAGATTATAGGTACTAATGTATCTAATACGGATTATTCCATTTATGGAAAACCAAAGTTTTGGTAACAACTTGCCAAATATATTCCATACTTGTGTATTTAACGTCTCATATACTACATTTTTTTGTGCTGACATGGCCCTCTTGTGAGTGGGAGTGGGTCCTTGGGGGTCGATCGTATGACAATGATTTAAAGTGTTCCATCACTGGAAATCATCGTCATACATTTTAATAGTTGAGTAGTGGGCAATGACTTTTACTCTGTGTCTGGCAGTGGCGGTTAATGCAGTGCATTTATTCTTAAGGAAAGGGTCGGGAACTTGGTTTGTCATGAAATTTCTAACACGCAGGTTTTGTTACTAATTTTTCTGTAGTGGTAAATATAATTTTAAAAAATATGTATAAATCAAACTGCTCACGTTTCGTAAATCCTAGTGGGCTCTTAGTGAGAATCAAACCTGGGTATCCTAAATAGGAGACATAGATTTAATTAAAAAATACGACGACATAGATAAGGAAGTCTCAGGTGCGATGCTCGGTGGAACCAATTTGGGAAACGGAACTTTTCTAAATTGACTCTTGGTTTGAATCCCGGGTAATGTGTGGTTGCCTGGCAAATTATTATTATTATATAAAAATGTTTCCAGAGAGCAACCCTAAGGACCACCCCCTCTGCCACCCCTTGCCGCCACCGTGTCGCGAAAGTGTTGCTGTACTCAGTGCGAGCTCGCAATGCTATCGTCGTCTTCATCGGGACTATACTAGCATATATTCTGTATTTATATGGGATTACGCCGTTCGCTCTTACAGGTGAGTTTTCATACTTCGAGTCACCGGACGAGAAGCGGGAAAAACTGTTTTGCTAGACCAAATGGTTTAGGTATTTACTATTAATTAACGGTCTACAAAAATATACGATACACTTAAGGACACAGTCTAAACAATGTGCTAATGTGTTACACAATAGGATTTACTTTATCCGGTCTCATATAAAATCCTGAAAACGGGTTAAATTAAAGTCTTGAACGAATTATTTAAGAATAAAATATTTACTGTTGTACATAATTTTTAAATGAAGATATTTCTCTTTAAGTACTACAGAGAATTTGCTAAATTTTGGTTTTCATCTGAACCCAACTAGTTATTTATCATCATCATCGTCATCATCAGCCTATTGCAGTCCACTGCTGGACATGGGCCTCCCCTAATGTGCGCCATTTCGGCCGGTCCTCAGCTTGTCGCGTCCATTTCCCGCCAGCAACCTTTCGCAGATCGTTATCCACCTGGCCGGAGGGCCTCTTACACTACGCTTGCCGAGTCGCGGTCTCCACTCTAGAACTCATTTTCCCCATAGGTTATCGGTTCTTCGACAGATAGGGCCACCCCACTGCCACTTCAGCTTGCTTATTGCACGAGCTATGTCGGTGACCTTGGTTCTCTGTCGGAGAACCTCATTACGAATTTTATCCTTCAGAGAAACTCCGAGCATAGCCCATTCCATAGCTGGACTAGCCGTATTGTGAGTGTCCACGTCTCGGTTCCTTAAATCATAACAGGCAGGACGCAGTGGTTGAAAACCTTCGTTTTCAGATATTGTGGTATCGTCACCTATACCACAAAATCAAAAAAAGAAGACTCGACGTAGATTCCCAAATGCTGCCCATCCAAGCTGAATCCTACTCCTGGCTTCCTTCTCGAAATTGTTTCTACCTAACTGCAGAATCTGCCCGAGGTAAGTGTATTCGGAAACAACTTCAAGAAGGTGGCCATTTACGACTATGGGTGTCGGATCAATGTGATCATTGATCATGACTTTGGTCTTGTCCAAGTTCATGCCGAGACCAATACGTCGCGAGGCGGACACTAGGCCGTCCAGCATCTGTTGTAGCTCCTCCATGACTGCAATGTCATCTGCAAATCCGTTTATGTTAATGCCCATACTTTTCCAGTCCAGCGTTTTAAACATATCCTCTAATGCGGCTGTGAACAGTTTCGGGGATATGACATCCCCCTGTCTCACTCCTCGGCGTAATTGGATGGGTTTAGACTGCTGGTCCTGTACTTGGACACTCAAAGTGGCGGCGTTATACAGACACCTCAGCACTTCGATGTAACGATAGTTCACTTGGCACCGCTGCAAGGATTCCAAGACAGCCCAGGTTTCGACGGAATCAAAAGCCTTCTCATAGTCCACAAAGGCTAGACACAGGAGCCGATTGTACTCTTCTGACTTCTGTATAATCTGCCTCACTGTGTGTATGTGGTCCATGGTGCTGTATTCCCGTCGAAACCCGGCCTGCTTCGGAGGCTGAAACTCGTCGAGTCTTCTGGCGAGACGATTCGTAATGACTCTAGAAAATAAATTCACATTTTTCCCAAAATTTTGCAAATTGTCCAGCGGTTTAACGACACACCGCGTCGCCGTTAAAGCAGCGTTTATTCTGGCAGAGTTTACACCCTTTCAATAGTTGATACAATATATACATTATATAGTTGGAACAACTCCTTTTTTTACTTTTTCCCCTTCAAAAATCAATTACATACTAGAATTTTAAATTTTAGTACGTAGATGGGAAACGATATGTTGGAAATCTATTTGGAATTCATAATAAATCGAGCACAGCATCAAATTGTCATCAAGCTATTAGCTCTGAACGCGAATTTTCGTAAGGAAGTATTATTTTAGTACTTAAACTAGGCGTTGTACATAATAGTACCTACTTTATGTGACTGTTACATAATGAAAGCGAACGAGCCGAGAGGCGAGTTTCATAAAAACATCACACGAGTGTTTTAATGCCTATTTATGTACAGTTACATACACTGCTTTATCTATACACGTATTATAAGCTGTCTGTGATGTGTTCAGGAAAGGCATGTTACGACTGGCGTAATGGCGGCACGCACAACCGTAGTTCGATATCAAGTACCGTGTGAAATTTGTCAAAATTGTTTGCTATTGACATTTTATTTCGAATAAAACTTCATCTCGACTGATATTAGAATTGAGGTCGAATAAAATTGTTTTGTTTTTCAGAGATGTTCGAAATTTGAATGTAATAATAAAATCGAATATGATGTTATTATTAAGCAACAATAATATTTTCACAGATAAGAATTTTGTTCTAACAAAACAGATTATCTTTATGCTGGCCGTAATTATATATGAATTAATCAATTACGAACAAGGGCTTCAAATGCGGGTGGCGGTGGCGCCACCAATGGACAACGAAGCTAACACTGGTCAAGGTGTATAGTATTTTGGAGGATGATATAATGCACATCCTAGGGATGCACGATTTTTTGCTTTGAATAGTTTTTTTGAATAGTAATGGAACGTATGCCTCTGAAACGATCCTCAGATCGCATGTCTTCTTTACCTTATAAAAATCGTTTCAAAATTAATTTCGATAAAAAAAATTGTGACAGTCTTTTTGGCTTCAGTAGGTTACGTCTTCCATTTAGAGGTTACGTCTTTTCTCACTGGCTAGTATCAGCCAGTGAGAAAAGACGTTCAGATGGCACAGAAGTAGCATCAATCGCCAGATATTGTAGAGTTATTGTACGTAGATGTTACCAAACTGACTTTCTTGCAGGTTAGTATAAAATAGAGGTTCAGAAATAGACTGTTTTCTTTTAATTATTAATACGATCTAGACGATTTGCCTTAATGTTGAATTGATTTAATTAAAAATTGCATTGAAAAGATTCGATTAATAAAAATGCCAGATCATACATCCCTTGGTGAAGTACGTACATATTACTTTTAACATATTATTGCAACGTTACATTTGCAGGCAAAATCGACGGCGGTCTTCCTAATTTCGGCCCGCCACCGTTTAGCACCGTAGTCAACAACAAGACGATAAACTTCGAAGAAATGCTGTCTATATTCGGAGCCGAGGGCCTAGTCATGCCATTAGTTGCCATATTGGAGAGCATTGCCATTGCTAAAGCTTTTGGTGAGTGAATGTGACTGTACTATTCGCTCATTGTACATTATACAGTCAGAAATAAATTGTACCATGAAATTTATAAAAAAATATCTGTAGAATTAACCTTAACCCACGCTGAATTTAAAATGCTCTTTGGTTTGAAATTGAAATTAAATTGATTGCTGAGAGAATGAAGAGACCTCTTATAAGGTAAAACCTTCTACAATCTCCTAGTAGATTTTACTCAATCTTTGTTTAAAATAAAGTGGTAATATAGTATAAAAATCTGTTACTAATTTAAATATGGATTATTAAAAATTTAGTTCAAATGTCAAAATTATAATGTTACGACCTTCGTGGTCGAGTGGCTTACACACCGGTTTTCACGGTGTCGCCATCTCTGAGGTCTCGGGTTCGATCCCCGACCGGGTCAGTGTGGAAAAACCAACTTTTCTATATTGTCTCGGGTCTGCATGTTTGTGGTACCGTCGTTGCTTCCGATATCCATAACACGAGAGAAATTTATAACGTGTATTTATTGTCATGACTTATGTATTCCACTTTTTAAACAAGATGCGATTGCGCAAGTGCTAGAAATTAAGGGTCGTATTCCAGAACTCTACTCAGTGCTCAAGTCAGGATTGCACTGGAAACACAAGCACTGGAAATACGACCCTAATGGCAGGGACTTGAGTATGATTTCGAGCGCTTTAAACCATACTCAAATCCTGACTTGAGCATTGAGTAGAGTTCTAGAATACGACCCTAAGACATTCTATAAAAAAGAGCCCGCAATCCTAATCCTCATTTGTTTAATCAACAAGTCTATATTGACTGCTTGTGTACGTTTTTTAATTTGTGTTTGCCACTAACTTCTAGCTGGCAGTACGTCAGTGGACGCTACTCAAGAAATGATTGCCATTGGCAGCTGTAACCTGCTGTCATCTTTCGCGCAGTGCATGCCAGCCACGGGCTCTTTCACCAGAACCGCCCTGAACCACGCCAGTGGAGTCGTCACACCCGCCGGATCGCTATTTAAAGGTGATGAAGCTTTTATGAAAACACCGCTCTTGTATTCAAATACACTATTATTGTTATTTTATTACGGTATACTATCTGTCACATACCAACTTGACCCGGTACGTTATTTGCAACGGTCGAGTATACATGCAACTAGAAATAGAGAAGAAATAAAGGCCGTGTATTCCTGGCAATTCATCCGGCAAACGGGACTTATATCACTTTTAAATATCAACTCTCTTTTGCGCTGAAACCACAAATTAGAAAGCTGAAATAGTACAGCGCCAACAAGTGATCTGTGTGTACGTCTCCGTATATTCAAAACATTTTCTGTATTTATTGTAATAAAGATAATATTGTCTTTAACAATGGGGGCTGTTGCATTCGGTGGTGTGAGAAAAACAGCAAAACATCTAATTACAAAACAAACGGAGTAACATTTCCTCGGTAATTAAATATTAAGTAACTATTTTTTTAATTTTCGTCCATTGTAGCAAATCTGATACACCCGTCAATTGTTTCGAATTCGGGCTGGCCAATCGACGCGCAGCTGTCACCGTAATCTTTTGGCAGAATAGTTTTCAAACAAATTATATGACATTTCGTCTCTATTTCTGGTTATATACTCGATGTCTGTAACATACAATCTGGTCCCAGTGTAACATGTCTAACATAATCTCTGTAGGGTGGGTACACATGCATGTGAAAAATATGATCTAGGCATGTCCCCGGTATACTATCTGTCACATACCATCTTGCTCCGGTATATTATCTATTTATCCCACACAACCTGGTTCCGGTATACTATTTGACACATCGTATGACCCGGGTATGAAATCTGTTGCGTACCATCTTAACCTGGTATACCATTTGTCACCTCACATTTGCCGCATGTTTTGACAGCTGCACGCGTGGTCTAACAAAACTTGACCCACACTGTCGAAACGATAGAAAAAGTAGACTATGGTATAAGGTAACTTAAGGTAAAACTAATTATCTATTTATTTACATTTCAGACAACATTTAGGTCCACAATTGTGTTAGTAACTCGTAGCCTACATTAATATTTAATAATTAACAATGATTTTGTCATTTGAGTGAGTTTCCACATCAAAGGACAATCAAATTTCGTAGATATAATCTTCAAGATGCTGTTACTGGTGCCCCACACTCTGTTTATAAGCGAGTTCGTTTTCTCGCGTCATACCGCGCTGAAACTGCCTGTGCGTGCTTCAACGAACTTGCTCGAAGCACTACAGAATCGCGGCAGCTGCAAAAGCACTCTGAAGGCGTTATTATGTTGGATTATTTAACCTTACCTACTTCGGTTTGGAAGGGTAAGGGTGCTGGTGAAATTACAGGCACATGGGACTTGTCAACTCATGTCTCTAGGTGAGGGGCGCTATGGTAGTGCCCCTCAGGTTTCAGTGATTTAAAGCTCTGAGGGGCACTGCAACTGTTATGGAAAGACGTGTCGCTTACCACCAGGCGCACGACTGGTTCGTCCCGTCACTTGGTATTATTAAAAAAAAATGCGCAGAGCATTGTAAGCCCTTTGAGTTTATCCAACCCACAGAATCGACGAGTACAGAGAAGTGCAGAACGTTTTAAATAGCGTTATTTGAACTTATGAATTAATTACGATGTTTTCTTTCTTTTCAGCTACCCTAGTCTTTCTAGCAGTGACGTTTCTAGCTAAGGCGTTCTACTTCATTCCTCGCGCGACTTTAGCCGCTGTCATCATGTGCGCTATGATCTCCATTATCGAGCTGAAGATCATCAGGAAACTATGGAGGAATAGCAGTAAGTTTCCATTTCTGTACTATAAAAGTCAAAGTCAGATGTAAAAAAAACCGCAATTTTATAATCTACTGCTCATTCATTGTGCTGACTTCCCTGAGAAGAACGAGCAAGAAACTCTAGGGATTGCTCTTTTCAAATAATCTTAAATGCTATGTGTAGCGGTACTACCGAGGCGTGAGCAATACCGAAGGAAACGCACTTACAGTTTAATTACACGATACTATAGTTACCACAGAAAAACAGAAACATTAGTAACAATAACAAGGCGCCAAAAACAAGTACATTTAAATTTAGAATAAAATTAAACTTATTAATAAATTAATAAAATATAAAATATATATACAAAAAAAGTCTTATAGTGACTGCTGCGATTCGCTACACTATGGAATACTCTTTCCATTATCTAACGTAATCTACAATTTTGTATTTAACGTAGGTTTTAAACTTAGGAAATGATAATCTTATTATGTGCTCCGATGTCTTATTGTAAAAGTCCGGAATCTTATTGTATCTTTTTCGCTACAGGGTTCTTAAAAGTTACTTAGGTCGGTTTTAAGTTCATCTTGTCATAAATAGTTATATAAGCAAATGAGATTATAGATTTAACTGCCTCCGTGGCCGAACGGTTACCACGCCGAACTGCCACGCAGAGGTTTCAGGTTCGATTCCCGGGCCGGAAGAAATATTTGTATGGCCTACATACCCTCATTTCTCTCGTGAGTTTGGGTGTCATTTGTGGTTTCCCTGGTGCGGGGCTATGTTGATTGTGTGCGTAAAAAAAAAAAAAGATTTAAATGTAACTAAAGATTTATCATTAATTACGGGTTTCCTTTTTATTTTCCTTATATTTCGGAACGGTTACACTTCGCGTGGTTACCGGTTGACAAGGCAGAGGCATTTTTTTTAAATAGCGCACACACTCAACATGCCCCGCACTAGGGAAACCCTATGTCGCGGGTGCCATGGAGATGCACATAGACACCAACAAATTACTCACGATAGAAATAAATGTAGGCCATATAAATATTTCACCCGGCCCGGGATCGAATCTGGGACCTCTGCGTGGCAGTCCGGCATGGTAACCGTTCGGCCACAGAGGCAGTTACATTTGACAGCTTTACGTACAGATCTATATCAAAATCAGCTTGTGCATCGGGAAGATGGTTTAAAGGCACGTATTCTGACGAATTGTATACCAGTCCAAAGTTGTTACTTGATCGTTTTAACCAAGAAAAAGTTCGGTGTCTTCACATTCTGAATACAAATTGTACTGTTCCAGAAATGGAGCTAGCGGTGTACTGCATAACAGTGGTAGTGGGGGCCGCAGTGGGCCTGGAGTACGGCATTTTAGCCGGGGCGGCAGCCGATGCACTTAGGGCGCTGGCCGCAGCCGCCAGGCCGCCGTTGCAGGCCAACGTCTTCAAGGTTCATTACCCTTTAACGTACACAATTATTAAATTTTTTTGTTGCCAAAAATTGTGATATACAAATATCACTCATACGCACACTAACACGTATCCAAACACGTACAAAATAATAGTGTTATGAAAATTGCATAAGGGTGCGGGTAGTTATCAACTTATGTCTCAGGGTGATGGGAGCAGGCCTTCACATCTGTTGAGGTGTAAAGAGGTACTACACTTCGTGTTTTTAAACGAAGTTTTTGTACGGGTAAAGTGATTACTTTTTGATTATTTTTTTTTCTTCTTTCCATAAAGGAAAAGGCAAAGGTTTTACACCATACAGCCAAGTCTTGGTACATTATTCTTTTTTGGTACATGAAGTTGAATTATGTTTCTGTAAATATGACCGCCACAAAGAGGATAGGCAATTTGAGGCGGCGTGCTTGGATTGACTCGGGATTCTTTAGAACCGATACGGGTATTTTAGTTCGACATTCGTATAATTTCGCGTTTTAATCTTCCATTAAGGCACAATAGCACTATCCTATTCCACTTTAAACTAGATTTCACAAAATAATTGAAAGTCAAAATAAAACCGATACTTTTCCCTCCAAAAGGTCCAGAGCGAATCCCTTTTTTGATTAAACAGATCACTGACACGAACATAGACGGTTGAGTGACGGCCAATTTGCACTGCCAATTACAAATAGATTAATTAAATGAATCGATTTGTTTAATTGAATCAGTTGAAATAACTACTAGTGGTTGTAGTATGCACATAACCTATAAAAGCAAATTTAACATTTCCGAAATGTTAATTTCAAATCTTCCTCAGATCCTTACACTTAGAATTCGTTCGTTTGTGATTAAAATTTTCGATTTATTAATGGATTACAAAAACTTTAATTGAATGAATTAGTTGCTTTAATTTCTTACACCACTATGCAACCATAGACTATTCACTATTTGAAAACTAACCTCACTTTTGGACTAACATTTTTCAAATAAGATTTTAATATGTTATTCAAAGTAATATTGCTGGAAATAGTGATATCAAGTCGAAATCTTCAAAATATACCTGAAAGTGTTCTTATTCCATTTATTTGATGATTGCTTTAGAATTTTAACCAAATCGGTTTGTTTATTTTTCACGTACATGGATGGGAACAGACTTTACAACTGTTATGGACAGGCGTGTCAATTACCACCAGGCGCACGACTTGTTCGTTCAATCACTTGATAATCATAAAAAAGCATTACTGTTGAGTTTTGACGACCTCCGTAGGCTACCGGTTGGCAATGTGGATTCTAAAAGAGAAAGTTCCGAGTTCGATTCCCAGTGGGAAATAAACATTTCAAAAGTGGTTCTGGTCTTTGAAGTAAATCTGGTCACAGTAGAGAGAATTTCCTATTTTGATATCAGTTAATTGATGGCACTTGTTTTTGCATTCGCAGGTGGGTAACGTTGACTGTCTGTCGATAACGCTGGTAGGCACGTTGTCGTACGCGTGTTCCGAGTACGCAGCGGAGGAGGTACGCCGGAAAGTGGGCCCGCGTACTGCAGTGGTGGTGCTGGACGCCCGGCAGCTGCACGCCATGGACATTGGCGTTGTTGAGGTTTGTACATCATCATCGCATTTGAGAGATACATAAGTAAAAAGCTATGGTAGCCTAAGAAGCCATAACTAGTTAAACCATTAGGCAATGGTTGTAGTAACCAGTTACGCGGTCAACGATTATCATCACCTGAAGAGGCTGTCGAAGAGTATGAAAAATATGTTTCAGAGATTGTCCCGGAAGAGTGGCATAAATGTTTTCAAAATTGGTTCATTCGTATGAAAAAGTGCATTAACGCTAACGGAAAATATTTTGAGAAACAATAAATTCATTTCTGACCATTTATAGTATTTTTCTTATTCATTCCGGAAACTTATAGTGCGACTTACGTATATATCGTGTAACACGCATTGCAAACAAAACATAGGAAATGAAACATTTTTTTCGGATCTATATTGCGTCCATTTGTTTTTTTCAACCTTAATATGTGGGCAGAATATCCCAAGAAAAGTTTATCGCTATCGGATGTATAAATAATGGAATACAAGCAAGACAGACACACATCAATTTTTATGTAATATAGATTGATATTTCTTTCCAGAACTTCATTTCAATGATCATGGACATGGAAAATAATAACCATCATAGGTTTTTGCTGTGGAACTTCCCCGAAAAACACCATCAATTATTCGACGACCTCCAACCTGGGTTTAGAGAGAGGTTCGTCGCTGGACCGAGCATAGACCTACATATACTGGGTACGTGTTGTTTTATGTGATAAACAGATTCTTAAAATACAGGGTGACTATTAATTTGACGTCTGAGACTGTCGATTGTATTTCGAAAGTAGTATTCCATATTTGTATGCTACGCATTTTTACAACTCAAATTATAAACTCAAAAATTATTTATGGCAATTTTTTTCATTTTTGTAGTCGAAACGTAAGAAGTAAAGGGTGATTAAGTAATCTCAAATAGAGAGGACTTGATTTTATTAATAACGGTCATCGATCTGCACAAATTATACTAAGCTCAACTCTACAGTGTTGCCATGTAACCATAATAAAAAAAACTGTTGGTTTAGTAGATTTTTTATACTTTTTAACAACTGACTTGAGTCTCAAAAATCAGAAAGATATTGAAAACGTCAATCTCGACATTTTCGAGAACGAGGTTCCCTTGACGAAAGCTCTATATGTTAGGTATTAAATAATTAATATTCGTTACAATTGCAAGTTATTTTCATTGCTGTTTTTAGGAACGATGTGACATTTTTTGCAATGCTAACTAATTTTTAATATAGTTTCATTTTTATTTTTCAGCGCTAGAAGTCGACAGAAGAGAACAAAGTTTCAATAACATTAATTTTCAATAGACTTACTGTTATCAATTTTCGACTATTGGATGCGTTGGATCGGTTCGATTGTGATAAAAAGCAAGTGTGATTTGTGATTGTGATATGTTTTAATTGCGGCCAATGTAAATGTAATGAGAAATATGCGACTGCGAGACGACGGTACTTCCAACCTTTGTTACCATTTTGTAATTAGAATGAATATTTTTATTTAGAAATGTATAAATATTGCTCCAAAGGACACGTAACATTGACCAAAGTGACTTATTTGCCACCTAGAAGTATGATTTGTTAGAAATTACAAATTTTAACGAAAATTAGTTATTTGTTAACACAAGATTCTGAATAGAATTATGTAAATACATTTTAACAATTACTTGCATACATTAAATACTTAACAATTACGCACTTGTTTGTGTGAGCCTCGTGTCCAAAAGTACACGAGGGAAAATTTCAACGCGGCCATTAAGGTGGTATCGTACTACTCGAACGATTAAAGTTCTGAAATAAAAGAATCATAGACAGGACATGAAGAAGAAGACATTAAAATCATTTTGACAGACATTTGTGTATATATAAGGTGCTTACAAATTAAGTACAGACTATTTTAGATACCTAGAGTCTTTAGTTTGCATAACAAGGATGAATTTAAAATACAAATCAAAAAGATTTGTTGCGAATTTTTAAATTTTACATTTCCGCACAAAAAAAAAACTGTCTAAATAACCAAGCTATATTAACTATATGATAATATTCTAGAACATTTAAATAATAAAAATTGCCACCGAAATTGGGTGCAGAAAACTAAGCCGAAAATTACCCTATTAATATCTTCAACATTGCTTTGTGGTGTCATAACGGTTAATTATGAGCGGGAAAAACTGAATCTCATTGTAATTAAGTGGCCAATTATAGCTAAACAGTTTCAAAAGAACACTGAAGACATTTTAAACACTAAGTAGTATTAGGATTAACTGAGTGTGTTTAGCAATTGACTTGTTTTGTTAAATTTCTCGAATAACTGACATAGACTTATTGGCGATTATCTTCTTTCGAAGTCATTAATAATGAGTTAAGTTATTGATTCCAAAAGTAAACGTACCTAATTTGTTAGCGCCCTGTATGTAAATACGTTATTCAAGTATTCTTATTGCATACAATTTTTTTTTTTTTTTTGACTTTACAATTATGATTATTATGAAGTTCTTAGGTGTTCGCGATTGTTACACATAGGAAATGAAACTATTTTTTCGTATCTCAATTGCGTATTATGGTTTTCTTTTTCAAAGAAACCAACGTTTCGAGGTCTTTGTAGGTCCCACGGCCATGGCTGGCTGAGATGGTAGTAGTCAACCAGTTATGTTTAACCTGAATGCAAACCACGTAGACATATGTAGAGTGAAATATAGGGTAAAATGGGCCCGAAATGTTGGCATGTTTGAAAAAAATAAATATAAGCAATTTAAAAATAAGTTTCATTTTAAATTATTACTATTCATATTTAATTCAAATCTCTATCACCGCGTTTCAATTGTAGACTGACTTATATTACATATATGTATGCGTGACCATGTGATATTTATAGTATAGTAATATTAAAAAAACACCTAGTTAAATTTTATGATTATTGTTACCTAGTGCATATTAGTTAATACATAGCCTTCAATTATGTTTGTATGTCCAATGTTTAGCCGGGCAAAGCGAAACTATGCTTTTTTGTTACTTTCAACTTGTTGCAACTTTAGAATGAAAGTGAATCAACACATAATTCAAACTTTTTGGGAATACGCAAAATAGGCTTTGAGGTTGTGACATTATTTAACTTATTACTCTTGTAGTGCTAAAGGTAATGGACATTGTTAGCCCTGGAAAATAATGAACAAGCATTCAGCTTTATAAACTAAAAAAATTATTCTGATTATTTTAATATACAACCATTGATATGAGTGCGAGAGCCTGGTTATCTGTAACCTAGTACAGACTCCAGCTCCCACTAAGGAACTTGTTTTATTTTATATGAAATGTAACTATAGGCTCAAATCTACTCGCTGTAAGGTCACTTTTTACAGAACATTTCTGTTGTCATTTGACGTAATAAAAATTAATGTCCACTTACACTAAATTTTAGTACGTCTTAAACCAATGCTTAAATGGATAAGACACTCTTAACACTATGTATTAAGGGTGTCTTTTGCATTGCAAGCTTTAGTTAAGATATACTTAACACTCTCAGAGTTATAGAACAATTCATTTTTTTGTACTAGCAGACCATGTCAGCTGCCGTCGGGACACCCTCAAGCTTTATCAGCAGGCGTTACGCAAAAACAGACGTATTTTGAAATGAAAACGTACTCGTTGCCACAATTCCGTAATCCCATTGGTTGACCATACAAAACTACTAATCCCCAATAAGGGATCCATTGTACGTGAGTTAGTTAATGGTACGGGTACTTCTTTCACCAGATAGTGGTTGGATATCACCACTAGAGACAAATACTTGATCAGCTGTTAGTAGACGATCTAAACAACTAATATGTCGGCCTGCTGGTGTAACCTTTTACTGCTCAGGACTAGAAAAATTAAAACAAATTTGGATTCCTGCGTTTGTTACGTCGGCGGCCCATATGGCTTGCTGGGTAAAGTTCAAAAATACGTAACGGCTTGCTGCACTCGCTGTTTTTGTGGGCGGCCGGCGCCCCACGTGGCGCTGAGAGTGTTTAGTGCAAGTGGATATAAGTCTCTTTCATTTTGACCAGCTAGGCAAGATGTTAAGTCCTTATAAAGAATAATTACAAAAGAAAGCACTCTTAAGTATTAAAATAAGTCGCATTTGTAAGAATTTAATGATGATTTTCGGAACGAAAACGACACGGTTGCTAATCCTGCACTTTTTCGCGTGTTGTTTTCGCAAATGCAGATTCAACACTAAATGCGTCGTTTTATTCGAATTAGAATTTCAAACATATGAAAGAGACCAATATAGTGAGTCTGTGACACTCGAGCTACAATGGCTTATTTTTTCAGATTAACAAGCTTATGAAATATGATTTGTAAAGTCGTTTACGGTATAAACTCATTTTTTATTTTTTTGAATGAGGTCACATTCCTTCTAAAGGTGCGTTGTATAAAATTTGTGTTTCTACAAATAAATGTAGCTCCATGCAACTGCCTTCGTGACCGAAAGGTTGCCATTCTGGACTGCCACGCAGCGGTCCTGGTTTCGATTTCCAGGCCTACAGAAATATGTGTACGATGTACATTTATTTCTCTCGTGAGTTTGGGTATAATTAGTGGTTCTCAATGTGTGGTCCATGGCACCCGCGACGCAGGTTTTCCCTAAAGCGGGGCTGCGTTATTATTAAATCTGCCGCTGTTAGTTAAAACGGCGCTTGTGACGAAAATTAAAAACCGAGAAAATAATATTTTTTTTAAGTTTTATTGAATGTCGCCACGTTTAACCACCATGATATTTAATTATTCTGAAATTTCTTGTCAAGTTTATTATAATTAATACACCGACCCGGCTGAATTCGAACCAATGTCTTGAAGCAAACCGTGGCAGACGCTATGCCAAGTGATCCACGGAACAAACCAGCGAATCTTATGAATTTATCTATGTGCTTGTTGCAGATTTTTGTTTTTGGTTTTTACCGACTTTTTTGGCGTCACGCCATCTGTGAGGAAATAATGTTTAAACAAAAGAAATAAAAAAAAACTGTCTACTTTTCTTTTGTGGTAATTTCATACAATATCTACATATATAGGAAAAAATAAAATAATTGAACTTCTCTTACTGATCACGGCAGTATACACATTTTTTTTTAAAATGTCACATGCGCTCTTTCAACTAACGATGACAGAAATGGGTTGTTAAATGAAGGCATTCAGTGCGCAAATTTTTGCGTCTAGGCGTAAATGCGAGTCGGATTGCTATCGGTTTTGTACACATACTTATTTCTCTATTAATTATGAACTATTACGAATTATAATTATTAATACAAAGATCCAACACTTAAAAACATTCCTTCGATCCGGCCAGATTCGAACCGACGTCTTTTAGCAAACCGTGCCAGACGCTACGCCAACTAAGCCACGGAACGAACCAGCGGACTTCACGATTTTGTCTATGTGCTTGTTGTCGGATCTACGTGTTTGGTTTTTAACGACTTTTATCCGTAGCGCCTTCTATGGGAAATCTATGAAAGTATTTCGTCACCCAGTTAGGCCCCTTTACAGCTACCAGCCCTGGCTAGAGATGTATAGATGATGATCCGGCCGGATCAAAGGAATTTTTTCTAAGTGTTTCTAATAATCTTTGTATTAATAATTATAACAAACTAGTGGAGTAATTTCACAAAAAAATATTGAATATCATGGTGGTGAAATATCTTGACATTCAATAAAAGACTTTATTATGAATTATGATATAATACGCCCAGACCAGAACCGAGGGCCCCGATTGCCTTCGAAGTAGTTTTGTTGTTCTGGAACTCGTAATTATTTTGCAGTGAATTCTCTCGTGTGTTAACACGTATTTGGTGTCATAGTCTAGTATGTCATGATTATAAATTTTTGTATTATCTTTTTTTTATAACAGTTAGTCAGGTAATAGGAGGAATGCCAAAAAGATATAATAGATTTAGTTGTGTATATGTACGTAAATATATTATGAATTGTACAGTAGATGTAAGTGCATATTATTTTTTCCAATTTCTAATTGTTTTCATTAAATAAGTTTGTCGTCTTATCCATGATCGTTTTATTTTGTCTTTAATTTTTTTTATAACATCTAGGACGGGACGAGCAAGTCGTGCGCCTGATGGTAAGCTACGCGCCTGTCCATAACAGTTGCAGTGCCACTTCAATATTTAAATCGCAAATATCTGAAGGGCACTGCCACTGCGCCCGTCGTCCTGAGACATAAGTTGATAAGACCCATGTGCCCGTATTTAAAAAATCGGAACACAGTAATGTTGACATTACTACTTGGCGGTAGAAATAGGTAAGGTGGCAGTACTTATTAACTTAAGAGTACTTATAGACATATGCGAATCGTATGCCATCTTAAATATAATGTGCTCAAAAGTTAATATATGGTTTTTAAGGCGGGAAGTACCATCACATGTCACCCCCATTCGTCTTAACGGTCAACAACTGAATAGAGTGACCTCCTTTAAATATCTTGGTCACGTTATGACAGACGATCTGCGTGATAACGTAGATATTGAGAGGGAACGTAGAGCATTAGCAATGAGAGCTAATATGATGATTCAGTCGATGTACGGCACAAGTAAAACTGACTTTATTTAAAGCTTACTGCACATCGCTGTACACCTGTAGTTTATGGTGCAGGTACACACAAGTCACGTGTACAGTGCAACGACGCGTTCAGGGTTCTGTTGCGGCTGCCGCGACACTAGTGCGTCCGGGATGTTCGCGGATGCGAGCGTTGACGGCTTCGAAGCGACGTTGCGCAAGCGCTGCGCCGCGACAATGCGTAGGGTGCGCGACAGCTGCCACAAACTCTTGACAGTTGTTGCACACAGATGGGACAGTGGACTGCTGTAATACTAACATTTTTATGGATCTTATTGTTGTCCGAAATAAATGCATTTTATTTTATTTTATTTTTTATTTTTATTTTTAACACGGAACCGGTTTAAAATGATAAATTCTAAAGGTGCTTAATTCGACTGTATTTTTTGTGTGCGTCTTACGCTATTACTTCGGAATTTGTGAACGATTTCGATGATTCTCTTTTTTGTTGGAAAGAGGGTACCTCGGTATTGGTCTCATTAAAATTTGTAGGAAATATTCCGCCTTTAAGGGTGGCAAACTAGGAGATGAACTCGGTTTCGCGCACTTTCCGGTAACCGATTTTAATAAAACTAGGCTAGGGCTAGGGTAGTTTCTTTTTATAAAAAGTTTATCATTAATTGGTATGAAAATAGAATGTTCGCTGTTCGTTGCCGGTTTGCAACTAACACGACTCACGTTTGCGCGGAGCCTAACATGCTCATGAAGCTTTTTCTGTCCAAGTTAATGCTATTACGTGTCTATAAAGGAGTCCGCTTGAGATGCAAAACCCTTTTGCTGTAAAACAAAATCTGCACACAAACTGCTACTTTTATTATCGGGTTTAATGTTTTGTCTTAAACCACAGACTACATTCTTCCGTGTCTTAAACGCATAACATATAAAACCGTGGAGTTATGGGGTAAACTGCGGAACCTTCAGAGGTAAAAGGGTAGAGGTTGTGCATATTATGGAGTAGAAATTGTGCTGATGAAAGGTCATTAATTTTGTTATTGAAAGGCTTAAAATTGTGCGCTTGAAGGTGTTGAAATTGTGTTGATGAGAGGATATCAATTTTGCTGTATCAATAATAACAAACTAGTGGAGTATTTTAGTTAAAAAAATATATGAAAATGATGAAAAAAAAAATTAAAAAGATCATGATATTAAACAAATATATTAAACGGCCTTTGATCCTACCAAGTCTACCCTGTCGATGTTCTAACTTAAACTGTGCGTAAATCAGTCCATTTCCACAAATTCACGTGTGTTGATAGTGTTAACAACATAATTCTGTCGAATCCACTGGCATCTGTCGTAACTAGTGTTGCCAGGCGTTTGGGTAAAGCATACATACGCAAAAGAAAAACAAAAGCCGGAGAAGCCGTACTACGTCTAGAACGGCTTTTGTTAGGCTTTTTATATTTTAAGTCCCATTTTGTTTAATTTTGAATTTCGATGGATAGCCATTGCTATAATAGATGATCTATAACAAGAACCAATAACTCTAGAGGACTGCTAACCTCCATACTACAAATGTGAAATAATAACGCACACACTCAACATAGCCCCGCACTAGGGAAACCCCGTGTCGCGGGTGCCATGGACAAACACATGACAACCATAAATTACACCCAACCTCACGAGAGTAATAAATGTAGACCATAATAGGTTAATGTAGACCATACAAATATTTCTCCCAGTCCGGGAATCGAACTTGAGACCTTTGCCAAGGCCACAAACGCCGTTAAATTCCGATAAATAAATGCTGAAAAAACTGAATACAAAAGATCTATAATAAATACTCCGAGATATTTGCAAGGTCTGCTGACTCGATCTGTATTCGGATTTGGTGCAGACGCAGCCTCGAGACCTGTCAGATCGAATGAATTTGTCTTAGTGTTCGATCTATTAATAATTATAACAAACCAGTGGAGTAATTTCACAGTAAGTAAATAAAATTAATATCATACTGATTTTCAATCAAAATTAATATCATGGTATCGTGTCATGGTAGTGAAAACAACATGATTTCAATAAAATAAATACGGTTGAAATGGTCAAATAATCGAGAAATATAAGATGAAGTAACAGAAGAAACAAACTGACAATAGCCCTCTTTACACAGCCACTCTATCGCGCGTGCCTGCACGCGCAATCGTGCGGTATTACCTGTCTGATTTTTTTTAAGCTAACGTTCTTTCACGCGCGATTGCGCGTGTTTCTTTTTGTTACAACGGAAAGAGCGTCCTAGAGCTAATAACACAGGATAGACCGCGTGAAACTGGCGCGTATGGAGTGCGCAACTAATAAGCCCAATCGCATGGTCTTTCTCTTGTCCTTCCAACGTTTGCTGTATAGCGCGTGATAGTGTGGCGCTGTACTGCAAGATAGACGTGATGATAGGCAACTCTAGAAAAGCATAAATACAAAACTACCCAATAAAATGTCTGATAATATTTTTAATAACGGTCAAAACCAATACGTCAGTATGAGAAAATGTAATATCTCTGATATTGCCGCGTGCGCTGTAGTGAAATTACGCTCATGTCAATTTCACGGCAGACGTGACGCGGCGGACGTTCAATATGGCGAGAGCTGGCTTGACAAGATGGTGGATACCGATTTATCATTTAAACGTATTTGGTGCAATCTTGAAATTCTCACTACACAGGAAACCAAATAAGTTTCGGTATATTCGTACTTCTAATGGGATACAATAGATTTACAGATTTTGTTGGTAAAGAGAGATTTTATTAGTTCAGAAATAATTGGGATAAATGTGTCATGAAATATTACAATTAAAAAGCACTTATTACAATAATTATAATATACAGGAAACAATGTCACGGTTTACGCGATATGACAATGGCGTGTATGCTACACAGAGGCACCTCTAAGGAGCTCCCTAATTATTCGTAAGGTGACTAGTGTAGGCAATGGTATGTGTACGTATCGTAGGATTGCGTCCTCCTTAGTTATTGCAGTGTTTAAATCTTGCCACCACGTTTTTATAAAAGATTCTGATTCTTTAAAGTGTGTACCTTCAGGTTGCAAAGTTAATACTGATCTAAAAAGATGTAGGCGCGAGCACGAATGGGTACGCCAAAGGATCTCTTGCCATGCGTAACCTATATAAAACATACATTTAATACGGATACAGTGCTAATGTATTTTTAAGTGTGTGTTTACCACTGTGGCCTTACGGTTACTATGATGA